CACACACACACACACACACACACACACACACACACACACACACACACACACACACACACACACACACACACACACACACACACACACACACACACACACACACACACACACACACACACAGTATATGTACATTGACAGAGAGAGCCATTCGCCGTCCTTTTGATTGGTTAACCTTTTTTGACCACCGTATGATGATGGTGCTTTGCTGCCTTTGAACGACGAATATTGAAATCTATCAAACAGTTATATCCATACAGACGAAGCGCTTCTCAACGTGCGAGCGACGCCTAAAGTAAAAACATTGCTTTTGTCCAGCTACCCTTGGTTTGTACCAATACAGCCCAGAAACTATCTCACACCTTGTTCGGCCATCAGCTCGCGTCTGGTGCAAACGTCCAGAAAAATTTATATACATACAGGAAGATGTCTGTGCAGAGATATCCAATTAAATCAAAACTAAAATTATACCCATTTTATTACTGTCAAACCCAATTGTTGTTACCGTCGTTACCCCCTATAGCTAAGCACACACTTGACACTGCAGTCATATGATGCGTTAACGTTATCAACCGTGTTCAACACAACATATTCGTCATGAAGCCTAGATGCCTGTTAGAAACACGTAATTGTATCATTAAGATAATTTCAGTTTATTTTATACCTAACATTCACAGATGCTTAACAATAGTTGATATAATTCCATTAATTAGTCTAATTTCAATATCTGTCGTCTATCCGTCGATTCGTTTATCCTCCCCTCGCTCACCCTATCATCTCTCAACCTTATCGTTTTTTTTTGGATTCGTTTTTGTTTTGTGTTCTCCCGCCAACCGCCATCCTGAACGATGACGATGACAGGGCATATTGACATCACGCGATAGCCCTTAGTATCCCATTGGCGCAAGCACTTTAGAGCCCCCTGCCGGGTTCCCCAGTACACCTCTCTATACGGCGCAACAACAAGACACAGCCGCGCCCGCCAAGCTTCACCACAACGGACCGATGAAAGCTAGTGAAATAGCGCAGTAGGACACAGGGGGTATTAAAGCGCATGGCAGATCAGATGAGCAGACGAATTTCACACTGTTGGCGCATTTAAACACACGACAGGCGCCAATAAAGGCTGTTCTGCTGCCGGAACACAAAAAAAAGACTAAATGTAAGATGTTCCTATCGCCAAGCTCTGTTGTCGTGCCTTTAGACAACAGGATAGTAAAAGTAAGACTGTGGCTTCGACTGCCATAGCTATAACTTTGTAGTGAATAATGGAAAAAAAGATAATATCTAGAATAGAAAGTATGGGACAGTGTTGAAGAATTCAGTTCACTTGCTATATCAGTTTTTGTCAACGTCTTAACGTGGGCTTGCCCTCGGCAAGACGCCGACACCGGACAGCTGGCGCTGCATGAAACCGTTATTTCCAGATGTGCAATTTTATATATATATACATCTATCTCATGTCTGTTGTATGTATCTGTCTGTTGTTTGTGAGCGTACGATGGGCAAGAACGACCGGCGGGCCCAGAGTATCGCGTCGACAGCGCAAAAGACAACACCAGTTTCTCTGGGAGCTGCTGTAAAGTTGCTCTTCTACATACGTAACGGTTAAATGCAGTCAAGAGCAGTACAAAACAAGCATTTAGTAGATACTAAAATGGCAGCACAGTGACTCTGTAAATCTAGCTACCAGCAGGTAAAGCCAAATTCGTCGTAAACGCTGAAGCGTTCTGTTCATGTCATAGGTATCAATGCTGTTGTCGGCTTTGCTGCCAAAAATGTCGCAGGCTTCTACGTCGTATCTTAGTCGTTTCTCGTTGCTTCGACGGATGTCGAAGGACAAACGAAGAGTTCATCGAAGAACGACTGAGCCCTATCTGGCAGTACCCGCTCAAAGTTTACCCGCAGCACTGCTCCTGGTGGACATATCAACCACCAGCGGATCAGCAGCGATCGGAATGGCAGGTTATCGACTACCGACCACCAAAGGGCTCGCTACAGCATGTCGCAGCAGCAGCAGTCATCGGTCTAGTGGTTTAAATAAGCAAAACGGCCCAAAAACGCCGGTACTAAAGACAGCACTGAACGCGTTCGATCATGTGTACCCGCTGTTCGTAGCTACTGCCACCATTGACCTGAGAGAGATCGGCGAGCCGAACGTGAACTGTGGAAGACGAAATATCGATTAGTTAAGGCGGAAGCTGCAGCAGCAATAGCATCAGCACCAGATAGCCCTCGTCGGACCATGGCGGCGCACGCCGTGCTCTGGTAAAGGCACATCGGCCTTTAAGGCCCACGCTTAAAATACACGGACGGCACCGGCTCCAGATTCGTAAATCGAGCCTTCTCCAATTTCGACAAGATGCGCTTCTGCCTTTTACTAATCGTAGATCTCTACCTGTCGTGCAGTGATACTGGTCAACCTGCTCGTGCTATTATTACTACCTTGAACGTCAGCGTTGCTATCCAAGCTACTAAAATAGATCACCACTGGTAGCAATCAATGTAGCTTAAACTATAGATGTTTGCCATCGAATCGACACACGTCTAAACATCGATTCCAAAGGAATGCCCTGTATGATACGTGACCTCGCTCGAGAGACTCGGCAGTTTATGAGATTTCTCATAAGCGCAGTTAGTTCATTTACGTTTCTGTGTCCTTCTCCTTCTGCTGTTTTCTGTCGGCGAAGAGACGCTGCTCTGGCTAAGCGACAGAGGCCATATAACGAAAGGCACTTATATCCTACCGACCTACTGCAGCGCTCGCGTACGAGTGAGCGGTGGATTAAAAGACAGAGATACAGAGAGAATGACCGTTGCGAACGTTGCGCAGTCGACTCTTGAATAGAAAAAGTGTGATGATAATTCAGTGGCCTTCAGGGGAGCAGAATAGACCGGCGTGTGTATAAAACAAACCCTTCATGCCGAAGGGTGCAGGAGTTTCGTTATTTGGCAATGCCATCACTTAAGGACTGTGTCATGTCATATACATATTTATAACGATCCGGTTCACAACTCTGGTCTTAATCGGAGAATTTATTAAATATAAACGCAGACATTATAACATTTTCCAGCGTACCCAGATATGCGCAGTAAATATAATACGTTCCGGTTATAAATTATATATACCGTCTATATACTTAAGCAAATCTGTGCTAGCAATAGGATATAGGAAAGCTCGCAACATCATCGATATCGACGAAAATGGTATCCGAATCGAAATAGTCATAAAATAGGACTCTGAAGATTGTTCAATAGGGTACGGGCGGTCCATGGTACCACGCGTATTCAGCCACTGATTTAACACCATATATAACATAATTTGTTATTATTATTATCGTCGATGAAATAAACTTTACCTTTGTGGCTCGATAGGATTCACGCAACGCAGGTATATAACTACTTACATTTTATCTGTGTCTGTATTGTAATTAGAACAAGAAACGTAAGAAAGTTCTTTCGTGATAAACAGGAGGTGTTGATTCGAGAAGTTCATATATATACACATTAGTGAAACACACTGTTGCAACTGCACGGTAGGCCTGCGTGTTGTATGTTTTGCACGCTGACGTAACGGCCAGACATGTGAGCCCTGCTGGTAGAGTCGAACTCTAGCAGGCAATCTTTAGGCGCATCGAGTGGCATGATTTAGCAGGAGTAAAGGAAACGCCAGCGGCGATGGCGGCAACAACAATAACAACCACTTAGGGAAAAGTTATATAAGACGCTATGTCCAAACCCACTTGAGACCCTCGACCCGGCGCATAAAATTTACGGAGTCTTGCATACTATATTAGTTAGAGCTTGCAAAGCAATTGTATTATAGATTACCGGTAGCAGTTATCGTTCTGGCTGCGGCTGCGATGATGTGATGATAACGGGATGAAGGTCTACGGCATAACGTGCGGAAAAGACGAATCCGTGATAGAGTAAAATTAGGCATATAGAGCTATATGCCTTACTTACGTACCTGTGAAATAGCTAGGCTATGCCCAGATTTCATCGGACCGTTTATCAGGTGCGCCTATTTCTCATGTGACCATGTATTTTGCGTAACTAGACCGACCTTACAGGTGTCACACTGCGTGCCAACTCTGTTCGGGCACGGTGAAAAGCTTCAAGCTGCTATTACCGATGGGCCAACTAACATCAGACAACAGTAGACTCAACGCGTTTGTCCATGTGAAAGAATCCGTCGTCGGCGGAAACCAATTTATGACTGTTTACGCCGTTGCCGCGGCTCCTGCGCAAACAGAAGTGGAGAAGCAGTGCACCGCCGACATGACAAGCGCTCGACCAGTCAGACGGTACTGAACGCCGCTGCGATCGGCGTAACCCGTCGTCTTAGGTAACAACAACAGCAGCAGCACCGCCAGCAGCCACGACATTAGCAATCTTCATAGGAGCGAATCGTTTTCCTTCGACAATGTTGGTGTTATGTTTTTCTACTGCTGTGAAACATCGTCCCCATCTGCATTTTATCCTTTTTTCTGGGCACCAGCAACAACAGCAGCCGCTATACTGCGCCAGTTGTGGCTAGCTATACGCGCTGATGATTTTCGCGGTCAATGCTGTAGTGGCATGTCTTGTCTCGTCCCGTTTCGTCTGCCATAGCTGACCCGCTGATGCAGCGAGAGCTCGTTTGAACCGACTGGACTCTAGCGAATCGTTGGCTGAACGCTTGGCGAGAACTGATCGCCAGTAAGGACTGCTGGCACGGACGGAGACGTCTGTGATGACCTCGCTTATAGTGGATAAAAAAAGAGCCTCTGCTGCTTCTTTCTTGCCATGTCTGTTTCCGCCGCTGATACTAAGTAACCGCCCGCAACGGTCGTCCAGACCACAGAAAAGTTACGTGGATCTTTCAACTCACCTAACGAGGTTAGCGTCTTCGTTTTATTTAGAATTCTACTGCTGCGCAACCCATAAAAAGTCGCGAGAACAAGAAGCAGTAGGGCGCGTTCCT